CTATATGTCTGGGTATAGATTTACTTTGGTTATGGCTGATTGGAGTTGTGTATGCCTCACTTACCCAGATGTCTGATTCTTTTTGCATGCTTAGAAAATTTTCTGCTATTATTTCTGCAGATAGTCTTTTTATGTCATTTGTATTGACACCTGCTGTTTCTTTGACACCTGTTAATATTACATTGTTTTTCTTTGCTTTGTCATGCAGTTATTGAATTGTTTTTCCTGGTTCCTTGTTATTTTTAAGAAATTCCTCTTTTTATGGTCATTAGTGGCAATACTGTTTTCAAGGTCAGAAAGTCTATCCTCAGCTTGGTTCAAGCATTTTTGCCAGCTTTTGGTGGAATTTCTAATTTCCTGAATATCTGTTTGAATCTGTTCCATGCATTTTAGTTCTTTCCTATATTGTTTATTCAAGGTTTCCATGATTTTTCTATGATCCTCTATTTTCTTTTCTATGTCTTCTTTGGACGTGCTGAGTAATTCTTTCATTATTGTTGTCACTTCTTTTTTTATGTGAGAGATTATTTCTGATCTGATGTGTTCTGTGGCCTGATGGATTGTTTCAGGTGTATGACTTCTGAGCTCTTCTGTTTTGATGTGTCCTGGACTTGTTCTGGGTGGGTTAGAGGTCTGAAATTCCATTTTGTGTGTTTGTTTTGTCATTTTTTAAGATCTAGAGGCTCCCTGGATCTCAGCTTCACTCCCACAATGGTGTGAGAGTGGTGGAGTGAGGATTTGACAGTCCCCAGTGCTCACTGTGGCTTCTATGATGGTGTGTGGGGGCAAGGTGTGGTCGCAGATGCTCCTGAAGCTTTCTTGCATTCAGTTGGTCCCCAGGCCAGTGGGGAAAAGGGTGGAGGAGGATCACTGGAGTTTCTGAAGCTGTCTGGGTTTAGCCTGACCTCCCCAAGGGTATGGGGGGCCACAGGTTATGGTCACTGAGGGTATGGAAGTTGCCCAGTACCCAGCCCAGGTCCCGAACCAGTGGGGGAGCGGTGAGGGTGCAGACATGGCAGAGGCCACTGAAGCTGTCTGGGTTCAGCTTGGTTCCTGCAGGTGTGTGGGGGGTGCAGGGAGTGGCCCCTGAGTCCCCAGAAGGTGTCTGGGTTCTGCCTGCATGGCACATTGGTGAGAGAGGCACAGGGGTTGCTCACCAGGGTTCCTGAAGATGACTGGGGTTCAACTAGCTCCCTCAGTATTGTGTGGGGTCCCTGCTGTCATTTTACTAGCTCATTCTTTTTACCTTCCTTTTTTCTTGAGTGAGCATACAATAGGGACAACACCTTAATCTGGAGTGTGCTAAAAGCTGTGGGGCTACTCTTGCAAGGTTGTGGTTGTGTAGCTTGAAGCATTTACAGAATGTTTTATGCTTTGGCAAGGAGCTATAGATTGTGTTCTTTTTTTTTTTTTTTTTTAAAAAAAAACGTCTTCAAAGAATCATAGTGTAGCAGTGTGAGAAAATTTCCTGGGCAGACATCTGGTTATTTAAGAGAAATTTGTACTTTTAATTGTAGAGTCCCAGCTTTGGAAGGATCTATAATTTATTTCAATTACTCATTTGTTTCCTAAGAATATCTAATGTGACATTTCTAATTGAGTGATCAATGCTAACTATAGAGGTCAATGATTTGAAAAGTTTGGAGTTTTGAGGAAAGGAAGGGCCTACAAAGGTGGAGCCATGGGGAACATGGTTGTTAAAGAGATTAGCATTCAAAAGAAACCAAGTATTTTGCATCAGGACAATAGGACAGATGGCTGGAAGGCATCTCAGGAATCAGCAAGACCCCATCTTTTACAGGATTAAAGGTATAAGACTGTAAAGCTTCCATTTGAAAAAAGAGCCCCTGGTCCCCCTACTTGAGGAGGAGATTGGATCCCCAGGATTCTTTACATAGTGCTTAGCCATCCAGGTACACAGATACCTTTGCAGCCATGACCAGAAAGGGCCTCATTGCTGCTTCAACTGGCAGCACATGGTGCTGGTTTTACAGACAAGCAGAATGTAAGACTTATGGGTTTGCAGAGGCATCTAACTAGAATTTAGAGGGGAGGGAGTATGCCCCTGAGAAGGCAGTACATGAAACTATGAGAGTAAAGTTGAAAGTGCAGTGGAGCCCCAAGAAGGTGGAGATGCTAGGAACATGGAACATTTGCTGAGGACAGCTATGACCAATAAATGGGGTCACCCCAAGAGAGGCCATGGTTGCAACCAGTAAGGTTGTAGGGGTGCTGTTGCCTAAGCCCTTTGAAATTTATGTCTCACCATTACTTTCCCCAGGTACTGGACCTGGAACTATTGGATTTAATGTTTACCTTGCTGAGTTTTGATATTACTTTATCAATTCCTTTCTGTCCTCCTATTTCTCCATGTTGGAATGGAAGTGTTTACTTTGTGCCATTGTATGTTGGGTGTGTTTAATTTCCTTTTTGCTTTTTTATAGGGCATCACTGCTAAGAATTTGTGTTGAGTCTCAGAGGAATTTTTGGACTTGGAATTTTTAGTAATGCTGAAACTGTTAAAACTTTGCTGGCTGTTAGAGATGGACTATGTGCATTTTGTATAGTGAGATAAACACGAGCCTTTTATGGGCCAGCTGCAGAAATTTATGGTTTAGATCCAAAGCAGATGGACAAAGCCTCATGTGTTTGAAAGTGATTGGATCTTAGGGTGCTCTACTCAGAGTGAAGTCACTCACTGAGTACAATAGCTGAATATGCTGTTAGGTGGTGGGGGCTGGCTGGAGGTGGCTCACTGGGGGCATGACTTGGAAGGGTATATCTCCTTGTCTGACTCCTCAGTTTGTTCTTCCTGGCTGTCATAGGTTGAGCACCTTTTCTTCCACAGTGCCTCTCTGCCATTCTGTTCCTGCCTTGAAACCATGCAATGACAAACTAAAATTGTGAACCAGAACACACCTGTCCTCCTTTAGGTTGTGGTGTTGGAGATTTTGTCCCAGTGATGGAAAAGGGACTAAATTACTTCTTGTCCCACAAGCTAGCTTCTAATTTTTGAGTGATTTTTTTTCCAAATTGTTTTGTTTTCCTTACCCAGTGCAGTCAGTTATTATGAAGTAGTGATTCTTTCTTTGAAAAAAAACAACAATGTGTCTAGTTCTATTTATTGTCTATCACTGACTCCAAATACCTCTTAACTAGATTTACTACCTATGGTGTTTCTTTTCTGCCATCTATTTTGCACAACCACAAGATTAACATTGTTTGCATTGCAAACTTATTTTCCTTCTCAAATATTCCAGAAACTAGCTTTCTAAATAGTAAAATATAAATTCAGGGTTGTTTTTAAAGTCACTTTACGTCATGCTTTTCAAAATTAAGCCCTAGCCTCTGGCACCCTGGGAGCCATGGGCGGGGAGCGCCGGCCTTCGGGCTGGCTAGCTTTCTGCCTGGTAGGTCCCCGGAGCGAGGGCCTCTGGTGCCCTTGGAGCCACGGCCGGGGAGCGCTGGTCTTCTGGCTGGCTAGCTTTCTGCCTGGTAGGCCCCCAGAGGGAGGGCCCCCGGCGCACATGGAGCCATGTGGCGGCGAGCGCTGTTGCACGCCGGCCCTTAGGCTGGCTGCCGCCACTCAATTGAGAACTATCAAGACACGGAGAAATAATGACACAATTGGCCCACCATGCACCGGCTGCAGATGCCCACCCACGGACATGTGTGAAACATTCAAATGGAAAAACCCCTGGGAATGCATGCCATACAACGCGTTACTCTTGCTCCTGCCATTGAGAAGCAGAAAGGTCCAGAGTCAGCAGAGGAGCAACTGCTAAACAAGGACTCAGAGAACATGAGAATGCAGACTAAGCC